ATGTTTGGAAATTATGTGGATGCAAGGGTTATCTTGCAACAAGAGACAAAAATAGAAGCAAAGAAACCAGTAAAGGATCATTGTGATAGGACAAGTAAGGGAAAAAGAAAGAATGTGGATAACATCAATAAATTTTTTACAGACTCAACAGGACTTAATAATGAATGTATGGGTTGATAGGAGTCTAGTAAAGTAAGAAGTCAGATATTACAGAAGGGTTTCAAACCAGGGTAACTAGATAGATAATGATGTTTTTACTAAGACAATATTGTAAGAGGAGAAGAAGGTTCAAGGAAAATGGTAAAAGATTGCAACAACATGGATAGAACTGGAGATCATGATGTTAAATGAAATAATCTAGGCACATAAATAAAAATATCAAATGGTAAAATTAGAAATGAAGAATCCAAAAAAGTAGAAGTCATACAAGTTCAGAGTAGAATATTGGCTACCAGAGACAGGGGAGAATAGGAGAAGGTGGGAGAGGTTGATTGATAGGTACTAAGTTATAGTTAGAAGTAAGGATTCTAGTGTGCTATTGCACATAGATAATGATAATATACTATATATTTCAAAAATCAAGAAGAAAGGATTTTAAATGTTTTTTGTCATAAACAAATGATAAATGTTTGAGGAGAGTGAGATGTTTTATCTGACAAAAACATTACACAATGAGTACATGTATTGAAACATCACTAGGTTCCACTCTAAATGTATATAATGTTTAAGTTTGTAAGTATTAGTTAAAAATAAATTTAAACTTAAAGCTTAAAAATAAGGTTGAATTCAAACTTTCTGAGGACAAGATTTGTTCATGATCTGATAGTCTCCAGGCAACAGTACAAGAAGAAAAGACTTCACCAACTTTAGTACTTATGTGAATAAAAACAGTGATTTAATGTATTATAATGGTTCATATGTATGTTTTATCCATATATTTTAAATGCATTAGAAGGATGAGAAAATTATTTCATTCATTATCAAGTCCATTTGAGATTATAATTGTGGTTTGCTATGTCTAAAGTATAAAGAGGGGAGGTAAAAATGATTAAATAAATGGCTCAAAGAGTCCTGAATTGCCTCTGGAAGAAAAAATACAGGCACTTTAACTGTCAATCCAAGTTATCATCACAAATTTTATTACCTGGAAGACAAAATATAGATGTGATAGAATGTAAAATAAACTAGAATGATTTAAATCTGTAATAGAGTTTTGAGGTTGTTGAGAGTTGTTTCAATTCTTCATTTTACTGACTGCACATTAGAAATTGCCAGACAGATACAAAATAGTACATCCAGCACAAACTTATTACTTATATGAAAATGTTAAATCTCTGTAATCCCCTTCTTTCACAAATCTTTTCTGAGAAAAAAAAAACATATAACTATTTCACTGGCAAAATATTTTTCCAAGATTCTATAAGACATTTAAAGAATTCTTTTGTTCTCTTTAACATGAGCATGAGAAAAGTGTAGTCTTGTGATCATATAGTTTCTTCATACCATCCCTTTCAAAATCACTCTAAGTTTCTATAAGTATTTGAAAAAAATATATATATATATATTTATATTATATATATATATATATATATATATTTAAATATATATATATTTATATATGTTGGTTAATAGTCCCTAAAAGTCTCAATGAAAGAAAACAGTTTTTCTTCTCTAGAACAGAAAAAGGATTACAAGGGATTTTTTGAATTATGGTCTTCAGAATAAAATAGCTTATTTATTAGAAAATCTTGATTCTAATGCAGTTTAAAATATCTATAACCATATCTGGGTTATTTGTGATTTTTTAAAAAAACTCAAGAAATTCACTTTAGTGGCTTTGAAGAGCTCTTAAACCAATAATATTTCTAAAAAAATAATGATCTTGAGTTTTGAAAATTGAATAGTTTTCAAGAATCCTGGAGCTGGTCCGTTGTCTTGAATGCAATTCAAATATTAAGGTGATGCTGTCAGATGAGACATTGGGGATAAATGGCTAAAAATCTACAAAAGAAAATAAGCCAGAATATTTTGAAATTTTAGAATGAGAATTAATCAACTCTAAATATTTCCCAGGACCAGTAATGCAATATACAATTGTTACAGATTGAAAATAAGACAGAAAAACTGTAGTTACCAACAGCASACTTCTACCACCTAAAATAGACTTAAAGAATACCATTCTATGTAATGTCATGTGTAGTTAATTTAAAAAAAAGAATTCAATTCTAATTTTTATAAATTTCCTTAGACTTACTTAATTTTTTATAACAAATATAATAATGGGCTCTGAAGTTACTTTTAATCTTCAGAACATAACTAACTTCCCTAGAGAAAACAACTAGGAAATAAATTGCAGATCAGATGAAAGCAAAAGTATTCTAAAAAGAACACTTTAGTTCAAATAACAACTACTCTCAATTGGTGGTACTAAATAAAATACAAAAGACAAATAGCTCCAATGTGGAATTTCTAATTCATGAGGAATTGAGGACTCTTCATTTCATTCCTTATTATCATTGAGAAATGTGTCACTGATGAATTTTAAGACTGCCTGAAGTATTAACCAAAGAATTATAGGTAGAACTAATATTGAAATGTTTTGTGTTCACATAGATAAGAATCTTGATGAAGAATCTTCAGTGTTAATTTCTTAACAATAGTGAAACTGATGAGAAAAATTAACTTGTTTCTATAAAGCACCTACTAGGCTTAGCTCTTTGGGCAGTGACCTTGTGAAATCCAGTGAATGGAGAAATAAAGGGAAGATAAAGAAGAAAAACAACCTAACACAAAACCAGGCCCAACATGACAGTGCACATAATAGATGGGATGGGAACCTGTAGGAAATGTCACTGAGGGAGACCTTTCAGGATTAGGTGCAGTGCATAAATTCTGGGGCAGAATGGCACACGTGGTGGTATTAGAGAGGGGAACAAATGGAGAAATAATCTTCTCAGGTGAATTTCATAAGTAAAGGCAGAAGGAGACAGTTATGAACAATGTAAGAGATGACAGCTCCTAGAGCAGTGGATGCTAAGGCTAGTTAGGAAAGATGAGGTCCCTCACTGGAGAAAAATTGTCTACCAGGATGAGACTTGGAGCGTTTATCTATAATTTTTTTCTGAGGAGCAGCTATAGCATAAAGGTTAAAAGGTCCAAAGCTCTAAGACTAACTACCTGATATGGCTGCTCACTAGTTATTTGACTTTGGATTAGTAGTTTAATTTTCTTTCCATTTCCTTATCTAATGGGAATGATATGTAGCAATACAAGTGAAATGCTTACAAGGTCATTTTATTCTGATATCATTAAGGGAAGGGTACCAGTTTAAAAACAACCAAAGGGGTTCTCCTAGCCATAAGAGCTAAGATATAGTAAAAAGCGGTGAGACTACAGGCTGGGAAAAAGCTCAGGCAGCAGTACTGTAGTAACCCAGTTTTTACCCTTAACATCCATTTCCCTTTATCAAACTGGAATATTGATTTCAGGGTTTTTATGTTTAAATATAGTAATGACCTTTATGTTCCCCATCTTGTTAGCTAAGTGTTTATGTCAGTTTCCAATCTCTGTGCTCTCTGAAACAATATCCAAAGAGAAGATTCATGATGAACTTTCACATTTAAAACCTAGATATTCTAGATCCTGACCCACAAGGGTGCTGACAGTTCATTTGACCTCAATAATTGCTGACAAAGTTCTTCTTCGTTCGTTTTGGGGTAAAATTAATGGCTTTGAGGAACATTATAGAATATAGGTTAATATTCAGTATAAATGAAAACTTCTTTGGGTTCTAATTCTATGCATGATAAATTGGGAATTTTATTACTACATTTAACCTTTAGCACATCTTTCTTTAAAATACAGATCCAATGTAAAATCTAGCATTTGCATACATGGTTGTAATTTGTGACGGTCACCCTCTCTAACCTGTAAGGCTCTGAGTTCATAAGAAAGACATGAATTACAATGAGATCTAATATTTCCATCACTGGTGCTCATGCACACAATTTCTTTCCAGAACTTTTTTTGTGTCGTAAGGAAAAACCATGCACAGTCCAGTCTGACTTGCCAAAAATTCTAATGAGAATCAAGAAATATAGATGTAAAAAGTAAATATGTCGTATATACTTATTTCAGGTAAAAATCATTTTCTCTTCATCTGAAACTTTATCTTTTAAACTTGAGCAATTGGCCAGAACAAATGCATTCCATTCTTGGAAACAAATCAAAGTTATTTATGTCAAATATTCTACTTAATAGAGGTGTGCTGGGAACTGTAACAATTGATATGATCAAACAAGAAATAAATGATTTTCAGTTTAGTTTCTGATCTTAGCTTCTGCACCAGACTACAAAATCAGAATTGCTTATTTTTCTTGTACTGCCACCATCGCTCTGTTGATCAAATCTACGTCCAATAAAGAAATGAGCAGGAACTCACAAATCCTACCAACTCTGGGGCATCCATCAGTCCATGGAAATTGTTCTGCTTGAAATCCCTTCAAAGCAGGAGTATGCTTGACTGTTTATATGTTGTCAGTGAGAATTTATGAATTTCTCCTTTCTGCTTTGTCTTAGGATTATTTCAGAAATGCCCATTCAAATATCAGTCAGACAAAATCGCTGCACTGTCTTCGAAGTTGTACCACAACTGTGAAAGCAGCAGCAGTAACTACTAAAACCCTGACCTTGACTTGTTGATATTCTTTTAAGGAAAAGCTAGAGGACAAAGGGAGCATAATGTAAACAAGTGATTGCAGGCATTTAGGAAAAGAAATATTTAATTTCTTTATAATTCATAATATACTTCATGTACCTTTTATAAACTTAAAAGGAAATAATGCTATAAAGAAAGGAATGGGGAGATCCATCTGTATGAGTATAGTTTTATAGAAGTGGCTCGGAAATGACAAATAATTTAGATATCACAGCTGGAAACCTCTAACTGCTGTATTTCTGTAACTGATCTAATCCTTGTGTGTTCTCTTGCTCTTTTGCAGGCAGACCAGTAATGATTGTGGTGGAATATATGGAGAATGGATCCCTAGATTCCTTTTTGAGGGTGAGGTGCTCTTTTATGATAGCATTTAAATAAGCTATTCTCAGTTCTAGATTTGAAATCATTTATTGTCAATTAAATTTTGCATAATGTTATGCATGGGTTTTCTGTAAAGAATAGCAGCAATTTCTCTAACATGCATTTCTCTGATATTGTGATATTTTAGAATATTTTAAGGGGATAAGATGTACACTTTATAATTGATTTCTTCTATAAATTTACTTGCCATATTAAAATACATATGTCTTTGTGTGTGTGCGTGTGTGTGTGTATATATATATATATATATATATATGTATATATATGTATATATATATATATATACATACGTATATTCCGAATGATGTTATCATAAAGAAGGAAATGAAACTGCATCCCCTCCCACAGCCACTCATTTAATAATTTAGTATGATATTTTATCCACTGTCTATAATGCTGAGACCCTTCAGTTTCTGATAGCTTACCAAATTGACTCAAGTTTGCTTCAGAAAGATAGTTCTCAATTTTGTCCTTCTTAAGTTTATTTGAAGGACTGTTCACAAAAGAAGAAACATAATTCCTTCAGTGGTGATTTATTTTAAAATAAAAATTTTAAAGCTTTCTTTTTAAAGTGACTTCTCTTTAACAGTATAGTGTATACAAAAAAAAAAAAAAACCTAAAACGTTGTTTTCTATAATGGTATAAAATAACAAAGCTGAGTAAGCACCAGAAAGTTATATTTCAAAGTGTATTCATAACATGTTTAATATTTAAAAAGCCATCATATGCTTGGAAACTCCTCATTGATGGTGAAAAAATAAACATAAAAAATCACTACCATAAATATTTTTCATCCCTGGCAGAGGTCATATATTTGCACATCTCTGCATTCTTTAATATCTGTCTAATAATACACATAATCATTTTACTTGATTACAAAATGACTGAAATTTTGCCTTTTGGAATGTATTATATTTCTCTCTATATTCATGTGAAAATGAGGTATTCTTTCTTCACTTTATTTTTTGCCCATGTTATTTGAATGTGCTCCCTTTGCATATCACTTTTCTCTCTTTATCTCATTTTCATTTATTTTTCTTGACTCTGTGCCCTCTTCTTCCAATTGCTTTCAGTGTTAGCAGCGATGATGTACTTACACTGTGACTGGACATGATGTCCTGATTTAATACAGAAGCTGAATTCAGCAAAATCTTTGGCTTCTCCTAGAGCAGTACCACTTTCATAATGCATACTCTCAACCACATGTGCTCATTAAGGCAAAAGGAAATTCAAAGGTGTTTGGAACATGAATGGTTTATTCTTTTCTGTAGCCATTTTTGAATGTGTTATTTTATAGCTATATTCATTTCACCAGTAAATGTCCTAAATTATTTTAGAGAAATTTATCAGGACCACCTATGGTACTTGAAATGCATCCTTCTATTATGTTTATTCAAAAACATAATTTCATCAGAAACATATCAAAATGTTTCATCATCAATAGCTGTTGAAAATTGGGTTAAATGACTACACCAGCAAATTAGGTGAGAAATGTTAGTTTCAGATATAATTCTTATTCTGCTGAATCATGAATCCATTATAATATGTTATAAAAAGGCAACGATACGTTATAAACAAACTATTTACTTATTAACATCCTAGTCAGGCATGGTGACACACACCTGTATTCCCAGTGGCTCAGGAGACTGAGGCAGGAGGATAGTGAGTTTAAAGCCAGCCTCAGCAAAGTAGTGAAGCCCTCAGCAATTCAGAGAGACACTGTCCCTAAAGGAAATATAAAAAAGGACTGGGGATGTGACTCAATGGTTAAATGCCCCTGAGTTCAATTACCAGTACCAAAATAAATAAATAAATAAATATGCTAATCCGTGTTTATATGAGGTATATTCCATGATCTAAATTTTGAAAGTTAATATTTTTCAGCTCTTATTATATACTTTGTAGTTTGACCTTAGCTGAAGGTCTGAAGAAAAAAGTCAATGTTTACCTGATGGTAAACCAGCACTCTAAGGACCTGAACACCCATCTACGTTAATCTTGCTATGTAACCTCGAACAAGCATGCTATCAACTCCTCTATACTTCTGACTCATTTATAAAATAGGAATTTGAATAGTACCTGTTCAAATATGCATATATTATAAGGATTGAGTTGATTACTGTAAAGCTTTTAGGGTTATATGTGACCAATGAAAGAGGAAGGAATCCAATTCAAGTGTCCATGACTCAAAAAGCCATGCTCGCATATCCTATAAGTACTTTTAAGTAACTTGCTTACTACTTTTCCTTATAAGTCCACTGCTATCACCCCCTCTTCACATACAGTTTCTACTAAAATAGAATTAAATGGTTAAAATGCAAAAAAAAAAAAAAAACAGGGGGGTGGTCAGAAATTTAGCTAGGTGATAGTGTTTTAAATTTCTTTTTAATTCAAAGCTAAGATACTAAAAAAAAAAAATCAATGAATGGAGGCAATAAACAAGGCTAATGCTCCTGCATCACCCTTCTTTAATATTCTTACCCTTCTTTGTAATATTATCCTTTCTATGCCAGAAGCACAAAGGGCTTTATAAACTTTATGTCAATAGCGGGCACTCAACTCCCCGTGGCAAGCAGAAATAAAATATATAAGTCTATATAGCCCATAAATTCTCAAAAGTGAAGTCATTTTTCAAACTACTGCTTTAGAATTTGATAATCAGAGCTTCTCTGATCACAGAGGAGGAAGTGGCTAAATGCACTGCATCGTAGGGAGCCATCCCTGGCTCATTAATAGCCTTCTGTGCTGACTGGAGGCAGAAAAGATTTCCCTTTGGTCTCCCACACTATTTGAAAATCACTTCAATTTGCTATTTTATTATGAAGGAGTGGTAGCACAACTAAGTACAAGATTACAGTCTAGTGCCAGCACTGGTGGCTGGCTGGCTGTGATATTGCACAGGATTCATAAATCTCATGCTGTTTGAGATCCTTGTGGACATTCTTCCAGACATATACTGGAGTGTGGAGGTGCAGATCAAGTGTGCAGGCTTGCAGTGGTGGAGTGTATACAGCCATGCATGTGCAGACATGGGTGTGGGTGTAGCTATATGTTGGCTTATAATTTTTAAAACAGATTCCAGCTTAGAGAGCAAGCATCAGGCTGGCTGCCCAGAAGGTACAGCATCACTGAGGTGTATATTTTTCTAATGAAAAATATTTTCAGAGGAAATGTACCAGTGTGAGTTAAATGTAAGCTTGACAATCATCCCCGAATGGTCTTTAACTACACACATGAATTTCATAAATACTTTTGTGGCACTTACCTGAAAATCACCTGCCTCTAAATCTCAGGGCCTACATTTTTGTAATAATAATAAAAACTAGCAATCCAAATAAAATAGCTATAAAATTATTTAAGATTTTGAGGTGTCATATATCAACCAAAAATTTACTTCTTTATTTTACAGTATTTCTTGATTATGAATTTATTTGTTACAAAATTTGTCTATGCCAAGATACACCATCACCAATGTCAGTTCAAGATGGTGCACTGTGTCCATACTGCAGCCTCTGATCACATCTCAAATCATTCAACAGAAAGAAAAGGTTTATTCATAGTTGTTACAAAATATAGTCACATGGGCAAACAAGAAGGAGTATCATCCAAAAGCCAAAAATCTAGGATAAAATAATAAAAAGGAAAAGCAGCCAGATTGGGTTAAGGGAGGAAACCATAGCTTGAAATATGCTCAGGGAAACATGGTGGGGAACAAGAAGAGTGTGTGGAAGGTGGTGCTACCAACTAAAATGAAGACACAGAGGAGGACCAGGATGGTCTGGTGGTTGGGAAGAAATGATGCGTTTCATTTCCATCACGTTACATTTGAGATGCTGATGAAACACCCCAACATGCAGTCAGCAATTAGAAATATGAATCTGAAACTCAGCAGAAAAATCTTGAATAATATTACAGATCTGGGAATTGGTAGCATAAAAATGGTTATTAAATCCAAGCCATAGTATTTCTGAGGAAGAATTTTTAGGAAAAGCTGACAAATTGAACAAAGTGGAAACTGTATTCCATTCCAGCCTAAGTGGCAACACAGATAGATTCCTGTGGTAGCTAAGGAAGAAGTGGAACAGAAATGAGAAGGAAAAAATAATATGGAGTACCGAAAGCAAAGGGAACTGAGCATTTCAGGAAGGAGCAATTAAGCGAATGTGTCAAGTACAACAGAGAAATTCAGAAAGACAGACTGAAAAGCATCTGTGTATTAGCATGTCAGAGGTCCTCAGTGACCTTAACACTTTGAATGGCTTGCTCCAAAGCAGAAACAAGATTGAAAAATTAGAATGAAAGATTGATAAGAATTAGTTGGTGGAGATAATACCTTTGGGGAAAGAAGTGGGTGAGATATCAAGGCAAAAGATAAACCAAATGCTAGTAAACTAGAAAAAAAATCAAGGTTTATTTTTCACATTTTTATTTTGATAAATTATAAATAACATACATTTTATTCTTAGCAGTTTAAAATACACATTTCATTGGTATCAAGGATGCTTATATCATCGTGTAACTGTCACCACCATCCATCTTTATAACTCTTTCAGCCTTGCAAACCTGAAACTCTGTACCCATTAAATAACAATACCTTATATCTCTCTTTCACCAGGCCCTGGAAAGCACCATTCTACTTTCTGTCCTCTGATTTTGAATACTATAAGCATGTCATATAAATGAAAAGATACAGTATTTGTTTTATTGTGTGTGTGATTATATGTTCTCATAGAAATATGAATCTGAAACTCAGCAGAAAAATCTTGAATAATATTACAGATCTGGGAATTGGTAGCATAAAAGTGGTTATTAAATCCAAGTTCAGTCTTATTGAAGTATTATGTCAAAATATTCTCCATATTTTAAGGCTCAATAATATTTCATTGTGTGTGTGTGTGAGAGAGAGACAGACAAGACAGGCATTTTATTATCCATTCATTTCTCAATGCACACTTAGTTTGCA